GGGGACATCTCTCCTGTGTGGCTGCAAGTGGCTCCTTCCTCCTTTCCCCCAAGGGTCTCACCTGGTGGAAGGCTTCTTCTCCAGATCTTGCTGCCTCGTGCCTGGCTCCCAGCTTCTCACCGTGGGGAGGGAAAGCTTCCGCCTCTCCAGCAGCTTGCCAGGATGGCACAATGAAACTAGGAAAGGAGGAAGCTCTTCAGAGCAGCCGCATGGGCACTGCCTTTTAAGCTGGTTGCAGTCAGCCAGCATGGGCAGGGACCACCCCCAGACAGCACGGACCCTTACCTCCTCTCATCCTGCACTCTCCTGCAGCTTGCTGCTGCGAGGTGAACGCACTTTGGCCTCTGGCCTTGTCCTCACAGTCAGATGAAACCTGGCAAACAAATGACACGGGCTTGAAGAAGGCTGGCCTCCTACCCGTTGCTGCTTGCTGGCAGTAATCCTCCTGGTGTTGCACGGGACATGGCATCCCTCTTCCGTCACGTTCACGCATGGGGTTTGTTGTGAAGCTTCCCGCAACACCAGAAAAGGTAGCCTAAATTCCCCTCCACATGCAGGCAATTCTCTCTGAGGGGAATCGCGGCAGCACGGGCACAAGAAGCACAACCGCAGTGCCCCTCCTCGCCAGGTGAAGACACTCGTAGCCGAAAGTCAGCATGAGTTAACCAGGACCCAGTCTCTTCAGGATTTAGCCCCGACTGGATGCTGAGCGTGGAGACCCGACCGCGCACGTTCCAAAGGAGGAGGTGGGAAGCCAAGGTGCGGAGGAAATGCACTCACCTTGGGAACATCTGGATCGCACGAGCGGTGGTCTCTCCACTCAAGGCAGTCGGGTGTGCCGGCCACATTCTCTGCAAAGAGACACAGACCTGCTGGAGGGTTTCTGAGGCACTTTTCTCAGGGCTCTCATTGACAGGAAGCAAACCTGTCTCCCAAGCCAAAAGAAAGCCTTCTCTCCAAAACCCTCCTCCAAAGCCTCTTCCATCCACCTTTGCTCTGCTCTGGAGGAGCATGGCAGAATATTGAGGCTGTACAGTAACGCTGCCAGGCCTTTTGCAGCGGCCAGCATCCAGACGCTCAGAAGAGCTAATGGAGAAAGCAGCTAATGGGGCAGGCGTGGGGAAAGGCATCTGACTGGCCTGCCGTGTCCAGGCTGGCCAACAGCGGTCGCATTAATCACCCTTCCACAGGATTCCCAAAGAAATTGAAGTAGCCCTCAAAACATCACCAGCTTACACTGTGGAGCATTGCAATGAGGTCCTCAGAGCTCTCCAGACGTTTAACACAGTCCGGATAAAACTTCATGCACAGGAATCATCTACAGGTCAAAACACCGATGTCCCTGAAGGCAAAGGGGACGTGCTCCTTGTTCTTCAGGAGGCAACAGTACAAGATGATGGTCTCTTGCACACAACTCCTGCACCACGTACAGTGGGAAGGAGGTGGCTTGCGCTAGCTGCAGGTAGTTCAGCCTGCTCGACCTCGACGTCATCTGCAAGGAGAAGCAACATCCTCAGTGCCACAGCAAGCCCAAGTTGCTTGCAGCATTCCGAACAAGGGCCTAGAGGAAGGGTCGCTAAGAGAAACAGCTCCGGGGGCCACGGGGTCTTCTGGGGGAACTCAAGCTCCACCCTGACCGTTGGAGACAATCCTCTGCCTCTCCCAGGCCTTTCCAAAGAGCAGGGAGAACAAAATCCTTCCGGACATGGGGCAGGACGAGGGGGCTGCTGCCTTCTCACCAGGGAGGATCTCAGGGGGACAGTACATGTACTCCAGCCACCCCTCATCAATGTCCAGCTGGAAGAACGGTTTGCGAATCAGGAGCCGCTTTTGCTTGACGTGGAATTGCTCTTGGAGAACAGCAAGGTCCCGAGTCCCGCAACCTGAATAGCCTGCACACAGAGAAGACAGAAAGGCTGAGGAGGGAGTTCTTGAGAGACGGGAAAAGGGATGACTCTCCGAGCAGGGGGACACTGCTCTGTGCCCTGCCTGCTCCTGAGGGACAATGGGGCAAGGTGGGGCACTTTGGAAAGCTTTGGAGAAGAGCCGCATCCTCCGTTTCTTCCATCACCCCCCTCCCAGGATTTGCCACCATCCTTTGGCTAGGGAAGAGCCCAGAGGTTTCCAGCACACAGCTTAGGCCTGGGACTGATTATCCTAGGCACGGACCCAGGATATTCCCCATCTCTCTGCTCGCCCTCTCCACCCAGGCCGCAGGGAAGAGTGAAGCCCTAGGGTGTGCCAAACCCCTGAGAAGCAGAGCAGATCTGGCCTTGGTTTCTCTCCCAGCTGGCCAGTAAGCTGCTCCGGGCACCCTGGGCAGTCTCAGTGCACTGCCGTGCTGCTCGGGTAGGGATTGCTCTGCAGGGCCCAGGACACCAGCCCACCTTATCCTGCTTCAGCGCTTCCAGAATTTGCTCGGATACAGCATCCCAGATAGCCTCAGTCTCTGGAAAGCAAGGAAAAGACAGGTCAGGCTCCAGGCCAGCCAGCTCACCACCTCTTGGCAAGCACCTCACCCAGGCGAGGACACATGCAGGCATACGCGAGCCCCCCAGAAAAACACCATGCGGGCATTCCTGGGACATTCCTGAGAGGCCTGTGGGAGCTGCAGGAAAGAGACTGCAGGCTCCCTGGGCCACCCCTTGCGAAGGGGCTCCTGACACCCTTACCTTTGGGGGAGAGATTCAGGAGCACTGGGAACTGGGAAACCATATCAGAGGCGATGGTCACCCTCCAGCAGCCCTCCATCTCGCTTGCTGCTGGCCCTCAGCTCAGGACAAGGGATGCCCGCCCTGGCTCCTCAACCACAGCTCCTCTGCAAGGTGCCCCTGCTCCTCCGCCCGTCAGCGAGGGTCGCCCAGTGCAAAGCTTGCTGCCTGCTGACCCCACTCCTGGCCGCAGAAGGACAGCGCTGGGGAGCACCCAAGCAGTGCCCAGCAGGGACCAGGCTTTGCAGGGAAGTGCCGGCACTGCCGCTGCACCAATGCTTATATCCTGGTGATGCAGGACATCCTTCTGTGACATCATCACGTGTCATAATAAGCCTTATGACGTCAGCAGCATGGAGACAGCACAGCTCAGGAGAGAGACGAGAGATTTCCCTTCTTGTCCTGAGAAAACAGTCACCTCCCTTCTGCCCAGTTCATTCCTAGCGGTTCCTGGCTCATCCACCAGGAACATCTCCAAATTCTGACAAAGGCCACAGAGTAAAGGAAGTAGAGCGCTGGAGAAGTCACTGCTGTGTTCCTCCCCATTTTCTAGGCAGTTTGCTAAAGTCTGTCTGCCAATACTCTCCAGGGCTGCAGGCCTCCCAGGGTCTATGAGTGAGTGGGCCTGTGCAGTGCTGGATGTAGGGCTGGGCCCCAAAACCTCATCTCTTTCCCTGTGCTGCAAAGCAGCTGGACTATGACATGCATTTTGTAGGAGGAGTGTCAAGACACGGGTTTTCCTGTTTGCAAGTCCCAGATCCTGGTGAACATCACCTAGGTCGGCCCATCTGGCAGCTGTGCACAGAAGATGCCTCCAAGAACCCATAGAAACCTCGGGAATGTTTGCACCCTGCAGTGTCCCTTTTCTGTGACAGTCTGAGTGATTTAAGGCCCCCAGGGTGACATGGGGTCATTGAAGTCATCTTAGTCCAGTGGCTTCCACAAGACTGTCTGCTTCTTCAGCCTGACTGCAGGCATTTACCTCTGACCACACTGCCACCCTGACTGGATCTGCTCTGACCCTCACCCACAAGGGCTCCCCCACTCTGCTGCCCATCCCATAGAGGAGCTCCATGCATCCAGACAGATCCTTCACATGGAGGGCAACCCCCTGTTGATCATCCCCGCCTGTCTCTTCTGAAGAATCTGCCCCCATCCAGCACAGCACCCCAAGCTGGGGGACCTGTCCCCCCACACCTCAGCAGCTCTTCCATCAATGTCCCAGCCCTGTGACAGCAGGCGGGGATCCAGCTCCTCCTGCCTGTGCCCCAGGCTGAGGGCATTGGGGCACATCTGGGCTGCAGCACCTCAGCTGTGGCACAAGGGCCAAACTCAGACTTGTCCCAGACCTTGTGCCAAGAGCCTGGGCATGAAGAGGCTTTCCTTCAGAGCAGAGATTTGCTGCCGTGGATGGGCACAAAAGGATGACTTAGGGGATCCCAAGAAGGGCAAGGCCTGGTGTTCCTGAGGCCAGAAGGAAACAGGCCTGGGCTGTGCCGCTCTGACAGCAGAGGGCCTTTGTGGTGTTGGTGCAGCCCTGAGGGCCAGTGCTGGAGCTGGGGCTGATCTTCAGGCAGGAGAAGGGGCTGCTGATTTCCCTTGATTTCCCCCATCTCCATTAATGATCCTGGAGCTGAGAAAAGGAGCTCACCTGCAGCTGCCCATGTTATTCACACCTAAACTGAGTGCAGAGGAATCCCAGCTCCCGTGGGTTTGTGGCAGGCATGGGAGGGATCTTTGTCCCATTCCAGCCCCAGGACAAAAAAACAGCATGAGATGTCTTAACTGACTCTGCTGAATCCCTTCCTTAAGCAGGGGGCTAAAGGAGTTACTTTTATGACCATGCCTGGGTGTCCCTTCATCAACTGGGATGAGAAGAGAAGACTGCTACAGATAATTGTTTTTGTGCTAAGAGAAATGAGCCTGCTGTCAAGAAGTGTGTGTGCCCAGGGGAGGGAGGGAAGCCCAGGGATCCCTTCAGGCTGTTTGCCAGCAGGTTTCCCTGCAGCCCCAGGGCCGTGTGCAGGGAGCCCGGTGGGGGGCAGAGCAAGGGAGGCCTTGGGCTGGGCCTCTGCTGCTGAGCTGGGCCGGGCTCCTGGGCCCAAGGGGAGCTCCTGGCAAGCGGGCAGCGCTGCAGAGAGACAGCTCTGCCCAGGAGCAGCTCCTCTGCACAGTGCAGCAGGCCTGGGGGCACTGCCTGCAGAGACACAGTGCTTAAAGGCAGGCAGAAGTGGCAGCATGCCCAGAGCTCACCGGGGGAGAAGACTTCCCAGCCCTGCACCCGGTAAGTCTCTGGCTGGAGGGCAATGCAGCCGCAGTTCGTGGAGGCAGGAGAAGCCGGGGGTGCAGGCAGGGGTGTCCAGGGCTGTGGTGCAGAGCAGGGTCCCTGCTGTGCCCCAGGGGCTGTGTGGTGGGGCAGGGCCTCTGCCGCCTGCCAGGCTCAGCACTCAGCCTGCCCGGGGAGCTGCCCAGGGCGCTGCGGGGAGAAGCTGCGGGTGGAAGGAGCCCCCCCGGCAGGGCAGGGTCCTGCTGCTGCTGGGAGGCTGCTGCCTGGGGCAGCCTGCTCACAGCTCCACAGCACAACCAGCGTGTATCTAAAGGGTCTTTGCGAGAGCCGGGATAAAGTAGGGGATTTCAGCTTCAGTCACAGCTTTTCTGAGCCTCCTGAACTTCCAATCTTCTCTACTTGCCTCAGTTGTAATAGAAATATTTGCTGTTAATTCCAGGAAGTGCCTGAGACTCCATGATGGCTGAGAGGTTACAAGGATCTTTTCCTGCCCCTCAGCCCATAGAAAGCTCCACCACCACATGTGCAGTGTCAGCAGGGTCTGTGTGCCCTGGGCTCTAGGACATGTCCCCAGCGAGCTGCCCCTGGGCAGAGCCCTGCTGCCAGGAGGTGTCTGCAGGGCAGAGCTGAGCACCCAGCAGGTGGGATGGGGGCTGTGAGCTGCAGGCAGGAGGCGTGGGGACAGAGACCCAGCTGCAGGCAGGGACAGCTGCAGGCAGCAGAGCCATGGGCAGGGAATGACAGGGAGCTGTTCCCAGAAACTACATGGCAGAAGGGAATTTGGCCACATCCGTTCCATCCCAGTACTGCTGATGCTTTCCATTGCCTTGACTGCCATCCAGCAAAGCCTCTGCCCCCACAGCTATGGGATCTCATGCTTTGTTGTCCCCGTGGCAGCAGGACCCTCAGAACAAAGAACACCCTCCCAAGTACCGATGTCTCACTCCATTTCCTGCCTCCCTCACTAGGAACCCTGGGCCATTTTTCTGTTTCCCCTCCCATCCATCCTGCCCTTGCTGTTCCCCTCAGATTCCCTGGGGAGTGGGTTTAAAGATAGAGCTCAAACACCAGAATACTGAGTCGTGCTCTGGATGTGCATCCCTGGGAGCAGAGTGCCCAAGCTATTCTAGCCAAAATGGCTCTGGTCCCAGCCTAGTGCTGGGAAATAATCTGTCTCTGTTCAGGTCACTGTGGTTTATGAACGTCCAGCAGAGGTTTTCCTGGAGTTATCCTGCTGTAGGATGTTGAACAGCCCCTCTGAATTATAGGTACACTGCATCTGAATGAAACTATGAATTTAAGAATGGGTCACCACCTTTCCCAGCAGTGCTGAATCCGATGGAGCTCACGTGCAGAGGTCATGGCTCCAAACAGTGCTCAGCCAGCACAAACCGGAGCTTCATCCAGAAAGGAGAATGAAGATGCTGTTGAGAAAGCGCATATTTGCGGAGGTGGGTGAGAAGGGAAGGGTGTTGCTGAAAGGACAGAGATTTGCTCAAAGAAGTCTGCCCAAAGTTTTCCATGTGCTTTTCTCTTTGGACAGGCCCCAAGGCCAAGAGGCATCAGATGTCCAACAGCAGCTCCATCACCAAGTTCCTTCTCCTGCCATTTGCAGTCACACGGGAGCTGCAGCTCCTGCACTTTGCGCTCTTCCTGGGCATCTACCTGGCTGCCCTCCTCGGTAACGGCCTCATCCTCACTGCCGTAGCCTGCGACCACCGCCTCCACACCCCCATGTACTTCTTCCTCCTCAACCTCGCCCTCCTCGACCTGGGCTGCATCTCCACCACTGTCCCCAAAGCCATGGCCAATTCCCTCTGGGACTCCAGGGCCATCTCCTATGCAGGATGTGTTATACAGGTCTTTCTCATTGTCGTCTTGTTTTCAACAGAGCTTTCTGTTCTCACCATCATGTCCTATGACCGCTACGTTGCCATCTGCAAGCCCCTGCACTATGGGACCCTCCTGGGCAGCAGAGCTTGTGCCCAGATGGCAGCAGCTGCCTGGGGCAGTGGGGTTCTTTATGCTCTGCTGTACACGGCCAATACATTTTCCCTGCCCCTCTGCCAAGGCAATGCCTTGGACCAATTCTTCTGTGAAATCCCCCAGATCCTCAAACTCTCCTGCTCACACTCCTACCTCAGGGAAATTTGGGTACTTATGGTTGCTATCTGTTTAGCATTTGGCTGTTTTGTTTTCATTCTTTTTTCCTATGTGTGGATCTTCAGGGCTGTGCTGAGGATGCCCTCTAGGCAGGGTCAGCTCAAAGCCTTCTCCACGTGCCTCCCTCACCTGTTTGTGGTCTCCCTCTTTGTCATCTCTGGCTTTTTTGCCTATCTGAAGCCCCCTTCTATCTCCTCCCCAACCCTGGATCTTTTGGTGGCAGTTCTGTACTCGGTGGTGCCCCCAACATTCAATCCCCTCATCTACAACATGAGAAACAAGGAGCTCAAGGGTGCTATTAGGAAAGGAATATCATGGATATTTCTGAATGGTGATAAACTTCCCCTCTTTCTCCACAAATGACTTCCTGGATATAATTTGAAGGCCTGGTACTTGTTTCATTAAGAATATTGGTATTTTTATCTTTATCCTTAGTTTCATTTCCATTTATTACTTAGAAAAAAAAGGCTTATTATTCATCCAGCATCTCCTGAAGTATTAAACTGCGCTGTTTACTCTGCACAGTTTTTCCCTCCCTGCATGTCAGCATCAACTCTCCTTTAGCATCTGCTTAATAAAACAGCATCTCTCCAATGCACTGCCTGAAATCCTGCCTCTTCTTTCAAAGCTGGTGTCAGCAATAGGTCTGAGCATTGCGGTGGTTTCACACTGATGGTCAGCTGAATTCCACCACACCACTCTATCACCCCTGCTCCTGAAAGGTACAGATGAAGAAAATAGAGTTGGAAAGGGCTGCAGGGTTTATACAAGGTATGGGGAGATGACTCATCAATTGCAGTCATGGAAGCAGACCCTATAAGGAGATTAAGATAATATATTTACTAACAGACTGGAGCAATGAGAAAAAAAAAAAAAAAGTGAACTAAAAAGATATCCACCCTTCTCTCTCCTCCTCTACCTGCTTTCAGCTGTCAAAACCTGCAAGTCCTGGGCTTAGGGAGGGAGGAAGTGGGGGGCTGGAGAGGGCTGGTGGCTGCTGTGAGAGCCCTTCCTGAGGGTCCCACTTTGCTAAGGGACAATGGGGCGGCCAGGACTCTTGGGTCCTGATGCTAGGGCTGCTCTGAGCCCAAAGGCTGCTTTAATCACTGCTCTGCATATCCTCATAAAGATGGAAAATCCAGGGCCAGATTTCCCTGGGAGATATCAGATCATGTCCTGGGTGCTGAGATGCCATCCTTGGATGGCCACAGCTCTGGTGCTGAACCCCTCCCATTTGCCTTCTATTGTGGTTTTACTCTGCTAAGCAGCTCAACTCCACCATAACCTCTCTCTAACTCCTTCTTCTCAAAGGAAAAGGGGGAGAAAATATGATGAAAGGTGCTCAGGGTTTGTTCTCCTAGTAAGATCAGATCAGCCACCAAGTTTCATGAAATCATAGAGTCATAGAAGGTTGGAAAAGACCTCCAAGATCATTTGGTCCAACTGCAACCCCCTGTATCGTCACAGTCACCAGTTATTGTCATGGGCAAAAATGAATGAGCGTAGGGAAATTAATATAATTTGTTGCCTATCACCAGCAAACTAGAATAGTGAGGAGCTACAAGCAAACTAAAACCCACCTTGCCCTCCATACATCCTCTTCTCCTTACACCCCCCAAATAGCTCAGGGGAATAGGGAATGGGGGCTGCGGTCAGTCCATGATGCTTCATCTCCACCGCTTCTTCAGGGTCACTATCTGCCCCTGCTCCAGCATGGGATCCCTCCCATGGGATGCCGTCCTATCCAAACTGATCCTGTGTGTGCTTCCCACAGGCAGCAGCTCTTCAATAATTGCTCTTACATGGGTCCGAACCGTGGGGTCCATCTGTCAGGAGCAAACTGCTGTCCCACAGGCAGCAGCTCCCCCCAGATCCCCAGATCCCCTGCTCCTGTAGGGGCTCTCCATGGGCCGCAGCCTCCTCCAGGCCACATCCACCTGCTCCACCGGGGGCTCCTCCACGGGCTGTGGTGTGGAGATCTACTCTGCCATGGTACCCATGGGCTGCAAGTGTTGTCCGTATGTTCATGCCCCGTCGGCCCCACCAATATGCACGTAGAGTCAGAATGCACACAAAGGTCTTTTAATTAAATAAGTAATTATAGAACTCTGCAGAGTCAGGTTTCTTGGTGAACTTTTGTAAAGCAAGCATACATCTAGTTTGAATCACCATTTTTTACACACAGCAAACTTGAGAAACTCTCTCTCTGGCTACTTTTAATTGGCTGTTTCAGCTTTCCTAACTTTCCTCTACTGAGTTTGTGCATTACAGAGGACCAGGCACAGGGGGAGGAGGGGTATTGGGAGGCAGGTGGGGAAAACACCATATTCCACATTAGCATACATTACCATTTTTACTGGTGTGATTTTTAATATGTTAGTGACCCTTAATGAGCAAAAGGTCAGTCTGGAATCTTCCTGCAGTTGTTTTTTTCCTTTTTGTTTTTTATCTTCCATCCCTTATCTCCTTTGCTTCTGATATCTCAAGGCTACCTGTCTCCCTGTTTTCTTTAGGTTTCACAGAATCTTGGAATGGCCAAGGTTAGAAGGGACCTCTGAAGATCATCTAGTCCAACCCCCCTGCCAAGCAGGATCACCGAGAACGCATTGCACAGGATGGCATCCAGGTGAGTTTTGAATATCTCCAGAGAGGAAGACTCCACCACCTCTCTGTGAAAGTGTCACTCTCACAGTAAAGAAGTGCTTCCTCATATACAGTTGGAACCTCCTGTGCTTCAGTTTGTGCCCATTGCCTCTTGTCCTGTCACTGGGTACAACTGAGAAGAGTCTGGTTCCATCCTCCTGACGCCCTCCCCTCAGATATTTATACACATGGATGAGGTCTCCCCTCAGTCTTCTCCTCTCCTATACAGGCCCATTAATCTAATGTTCCAGTCCTCTAATCAGCTTAGTAGCCCTCCTCTGGACTCTCTCCAGTAGTTCCATGTCCCTCTTGTCCTGGGGAGCCCAGACCTGGACACAGGACTGCAGGTGTGGCCTCACCGCGACTGAGTAGAGGGGGAGGATCACCTCCCTTGGCCTGCTGGCAACACTCTTCCGAATGCACCCCAGGATCCTGTTGGCCTTCTTGGCCACAAGGGCACACTGCTGGCTCGTGCTCAGCCTGCCGTCCCCCAGGACTCTCAGGTGCCTCTCTGCAGAGCTGCTCTCCATCAGCTCACCCCCCCAGCCTGTTCTGCTACTTGGGGTTATTCCTCCCCAGGAACTTTCCATATGGAGTTTGCTTGTTCATTTGTTTGATTTTCCTTTCTGGCTTTGTGATAATGTTGCCTACACAGAAATGCCCTTCTCCATTCCCTTGTATCTAAGTATTCCCATCTGTGTGATCCATGGTTTCTCTAAACAATGAAACAGGCTCTCTGTGTATTTAAACCAAACAAATCCTGGTCTGAGACCCATTCTCAGCAGATCAGGAGTGAATGGAAACTGGGGCTGTGGTGGCAATGCCCAAAGCCCTGCAGCAGCCTGCAGTGAGCACTGCCGTGGGGCCAGGCCAGCCTGGGAGGTGGACAGAGGACAGGGAGCTGGGAGAGCTGGGGGCCAGCTGGGCCAGGCTGGAAGCTGCCCAGCAGAGAGAAACATCTGTGTTGAGCTGGGATGTGCAGCCACGCAAGGGGATGACACGCACTGCTGGCTTTGGGTCGTGTGGCAGGGATGGAAGACAGGCTGGTGCAGGAGGGAGGAGGCCGGGCTGTGCCCATCAGGCACAGACAGAGCAGAGAGGTGGCCCAGGGCTTTCGTCACCTGCAGCCTCTCTTGTCATCCATGTCCAGCACTGGCCGCTCCCCCCAGGTTTAGGGGTGCATTTGGCTGCCAGGCCATCTCCATCCTTGTGCCAGGCTCAGGGCCTGTGTCAGGGGAACAGCCAGCCCTGCTGGCCTCTGTCCTGGCCCAGAGCCCTGAAGACTTGGAGCAGGGCTGTCTGCAGAGGCTCCCGTGGGATGTGGATGGGTCAGGGCAGGGGCCGGGTGTGGCATAATGACCACACGGACACCAGGGTTCTTTTAGGATCTGTAACTGCTACATCTTTATTGATGACATAACTTCAGCTCTTTCTTACTGAGGGCCTAACTTCATCTCTCATATTGAGGACATAACTTCATTATCCCTTATCGAGGACAGGCTCCCTTCTTATACCATTCGCCCCCCAGCAGTACTTTTCCACTGACTATTCATTGGTCAACAACTTTGCCCTGCAACAGCAAACACCCAGCATCTTCCATGCCTTAACGGCTGGAGAACAAGCAACCCCAGACAACAAGGGGTCTCCTGAATCACCCTTCTTTGTTCCCTCTAAACTCTTTACATTCCTGATGGTCTCATCATTAAGAGTCCGATGTTATCACCAACCATGGGGCTTGTCGACCCCCATGGCCACACTCCCACAGCTGGGGGCTGGAGGGGGATGCAAACGCAGGAGGGCCATGGCAGGAGGGGACCCCAAGTGTGCCATTGGGATTGTAATAGCAGGAGCTTGACCCAACCCTGAATGTGCACTGCCATGTGCGTTGCCTTGGCAGCACGGCTGTGGGACCGTGTGTGGGGCAGTGGGGCTGGGACGCTGCAGGGATAGGGCACTGAGAGGGGCCATGAAGGATCTGCCAGGGGGTGACAGCAAGGACAGGCTCCAAAAAAGAAACTTACTTATCTTACCTTTGTGGTGGACATATGCTTTTAGGAAAGGCAAAGCTCACCTAGAGCTGGTGACTGCAAGGATATCAGGCCATGTGTACACAAAGACACAATCTTTTAAACACACATGGATGTGCACACGCAGGCGGGTATGGCTGAGCACACCCAGACCAACTGCAACTGGAAGAAGGCAGGACAGAGAGATGCGATCAGGTACAGGGTATCTGGAGTCTCTAGAGCAAGGACCAGACCTCTGGTCTCCACTGCTCCCCTCCATCTCTCTGTGCCGTTTGCCCATCGCTCACATCTCTGCCCACCAAGGGCACGTGAGATACTGCTGTCCCTCACAGCCCTGCCTGTACTCTGCTCCTTTCTCCCGCTGTGCTTTGTCACACCCAGCACTTCCTTGTGCCTTTTCCCACAGGCTCCCACCCCATGTCCAGCTGGCATCACTGCAGGGCAGCCCTCCCCAGGGCCCAGGCATCTGCCTGCAGCTTCCACAGCTGCTGCTCTTGATGGCCTCCTGAGGCCTGCCTGCTCCTGGCCCATCACAGTGTTGTGAGGAGGTGACCTCAGCAGCAGCAGCCCAGCCACGGTGGACAGAGCTGTCCCCTGCCAGATCTGCCGCCTGTGTCCCATGGGGTTTGTGATGCACTCAATGACATCGCTGTGTCTGCCTGCCTGCCACCAGGCAGTCAGGTCACTGCAGTAGGAATGGCATCACAACCCACCTCCCAGCCGTGTCACTGGGACTTTCCTCCACATGTCCCCTTTCCCCAGCTCCCAGCACTTCTGGGTTGTTTTCCTGATAGTTTGGGCGATATAAAATTCTAGAATCCCATCCACTTGCCTGTGAGTCTCCCAGTTATCTATATGTATGCAGTAACTCTGTATATACTTTTCCATTTACTTGCACATATATCTGTAGTTACAGATGGAGCTATAC